TTTTTCTTTGTTAGTCACTTGGTGTTCTGAGCTTCATTTTTTTTACCTCGAGATATTTAATCGCTATTGCCCCCCCCCCCCCAACTGGCACAGCGGCATGTATGCGGACCTATAACGATAGAAACCGGGCTTCGATATCCGTGGTGGGCAGAGCACAGATGGCCCATTGTGTAGCTTTGTGCTTAATTACAAACAAACAAATTTATAACAATTCCATCGACTATCGACCCTCTTCCACTCTATTAATAATGATGATTTTTTAATCTCTTATTACTTTACCCCATTCCCTTGGTTTTAGAATATATTAGAACACTATTCACGAGAACCATCTATTGCAACAGTAATAGCACTAACAACTCTTGACACATAAAAATAAAACCAACAATAAAAAGAATAGCTTAATTAAAATTTACTTCTTAATTTAATAATTTATTCGTTATATTTTTCTATGTAGTTCATATGACGACTCGACGTAAAGCATCTTGATGTATAGAGATACTCTCCACTTGATCAGGTTTTGAATAAATGGAGCCATTTTATTAGCCGACTATAAAGCACCTGGTACATACAATATATATATTCAGACAAAGTCTGCAGCTGTTTGGCTGTGAATTTTCAAAGCACATAATGTCTCAAATACGGTTCTTGCTTATGGAGTACATTTATTACCAGTAAAGAAAAATAAGTACTATTCAAGCGTATACTTGCCCACGTATTTAGATTGTAGATCTGCCTGGAATGTGTCCCCCAATGAGTCAGCGGTAAATTTACAGGCTCAATATGTGTAAAATTCGGGGTTCGATTCCTCCACGGAGAAAAGAGCTCAGATTGTATATCTTTTTGCAAAAACAACAATACAGCAACTGTATGAAGTTAAAATTGTATAACATACTTAATAAAATTACATGCTACATTTACTTATAAACGCCTAATAACACAGGTATGCACATTTAAACTTCATAAAAGCTGGTTTGGTTTTAATAACGGATTTTCCATAATTCAGCTACACGGATTTCGAAAATAATATTCATTTTTTTTTCTATCACGTAAGGATTTTTTACAAATCGGGAAGTAAAAAACTCTTACTTAGATCAAATTATTGTTTTGTTTACCACAATGAACATTTTTTGTATTATTATGTTTATAACAATAATACAAACCAAGGGAAGAACACTGATGTCAAATGAATATGCATCCTCATTCATCCTGATTTTTTTGTGTGAAATCTACGTCTTTTAGTCTCAAAACTACGTGTTGTGGTCTTTCTTTTTGGTATTGTGTTATGACGTTTTGTGAAAAAGCTGTACGTGATGGAGAAAAATGGATATCATTTTTCAGATTCAGCGTACAGGAATTACAATA